TATATTGCAGGCATTTCTCATAAGGAATTTTGGTATCTACTTGAGTTTTCTGTTCTAGCCACAGTCGAGCGTCATCTTCAAAATTTGATTTTGGTGACATTTGATCGGCTGAAGACGATGTTTACATTTTTACGGATAGGGTTAGGGTACTACTTCTCGTACCCTTGCAGGTCTCTAATTTGTACACCTAATTGTATTGAAGGTATTGGAAGGTTTGGTGAATATTGTGGTTGTAATAATGGACAAGGAGAGCAATGTTCAAATAGTCCAATCCATATTCGATGCTGTTTAAATACAACTTCAGGATCAATTATTCTCACACCAATCTACAAAATTTGCTGTATGTTTACTCGTAAAAGCAAATGGTCTCATAAAACGAATAGATAATTGTTTTTCTTGATGTAAACGATCATTTTTAGATTGTTCATTATTTGTAAACATCGTACAAGTTCAATTTTCACTGCACTGTATGAAAAATGTGACTAATATCCTTTTTACAATGGATGACACATTTTCTACGCTTCGTGCAGTACATAAAGTGATATAAGGAAGAGAAATGAATAGAAGGGAAGCATGTGTGACCGTAACGTTTTTTCTCTTTCGTAAGTACATCAAGTATGAGCGTCACTGGTGTGAAGAGGAGAAATAAAGATTTTTTTGTAGCTGTATTGTACACATCTTTATCGACAATTTCAAAATATGTTTGTTGTAATCATAATAATTGTTTTTGTTTTTCTGCAGATAAACGTGATCCATTATTTGAAACAACTGTAGCTGCAGCAACACTAGCAAAATTTCCTGCAGTAAAATAATCTTGTCCATGGGTTATACCAAATAGAAATGCACCTGCAAACATATCACCTGCTGTACTAGAATCGCCTGCATGTACTTTATGAGGTGTAATATTGTATAGTTTTCTACCATTATAGACTAAAGAACCTTCAGCACCAAGAGTAATAACAAATGTATGTGCAATTAGTTTTAATTTCTCAATAGCACTATCAATTTGATCTGTTTGAGACCAACTAAATGCTTCATTTCGATTACAAAATAATAAATCAATTGGTTTCTCAAGTATTTCACATAAACGATCACGATAAATCTTAATAATACTTGAATCAGAAAAACTCATTGATATTTTAACATTATTTTATTCTACTATTTCACATAAATGTTTAGCAGCAATAAATGTTGGTAATGACATAATCATATAAGCTTCGAAATAAACATAATTCGAAGCAGCAATAACTTCTGATATAATATCATCGTGAGATTGTATTGCATTAATACCAAGAAATGTACAAAGAGTACGTTCAGCATCGGGAGTTATTACAACTAAACATGTTCCTGTAATACCTTCATCTTGACACTTATTAATATGATAATCAACACCTGCTGTTTGAAAATCTTTTAAATAAAATTGACCATTATTATCATTTCCAACTTTACATGAATAAAATGTTTTACATTTTTACCAATGGATATTGTATTAAGATCATCATCAGTTACATTAATTTCTGTGTCAACAAGTGCAGCACCTATTCCATAAACATGATAAGATTTTGCCATGATTATGCAAAAAAGGAAAATGAATTATTATATGAAGTCACTATGTTGTTATTACTATGATGTATGATGAAATAGTATTTTGCACTAATTATGTCATTCCTGAGAAAAGAAAAAAGTTACAAAGATATCCTAAAAATATTTCTTATTCATCGTTATTGAAAAAAAGTAATCGTATATAATTTTTGCAATAGAAGAAAAAGAGAACGAAAAGATACACGTGGTTAAAAAATAACATACAACAGTATAGAAACAAGTGTAGAACGATGACTTCATAATTATTATTGAATGTGTCGTACCTATTATGTATCGTTTCAATCACAATTGTTGAATCTTTATCAATTCTATTGGTCGGTTTCATAAACTACCTGTAGCAAGCACTGCATTCGCTTGGAGGAGGGGGGGGGTATATGCCGATCTGTCCCTGTGCCTAGGAAAGTGTTGTGGAAAGTTTGGTCACTGCAGCTAGTACACAGACAGACAGACTTTCTTCTTTATATATACAGAAGATTGTTTATTCTATATGAATCGAAACAGGGATTTTTGTTTGCTCTTATCATTACAATCCCATTTAAAATGTTCTTTTATTATCTTTTCGTATGGGAAAAGGTTATTCTTTTATATGACGTTTGTAACGAAAAAATATAAATGCCACTTTTATACTATAATCTTAACTTCAAATTTGGATTTTTTCATATTTAAATGGATAATATTCGTTTACGTTCAATTATTTTAAAGTTACAAGATCGTCTTTCCAATGATGATCGAAAACGTCTTCATTTTTATCTTGGTAATGATGTTCCTCGAAGAATTCGAGATGATCCAACACTTGGTGGTACACTTAATTTAATGGATTCACTTTTTGATCAAGATATAATCAATGAAAAAGATTTTACTTATTTAATTAGAGCTTTTGATGACATTCATTGTTTTGATGCTGTGAAATTATTAAAAGGTTAATTCATTTTTATAACAATTTGACTTATTTCTTAACGATATTTTAGAACATTTCAATCAAAATCGTGAAGATATATTAAATCAATCCGTACAAAGTTTATCATTAATTATGCCACATATCTTTGAAACACTTGAGGCAGATCAAGAAGAAGATAAAGCGGGTTTGTCATCAAGTGACTATATAATCAAATATATTCTTTGATTTAGATTACATTCCTTTACAAAATTTGACCAATAATCATGATATCATAATCAATAATCAACTAAAGAATAGGAATAACAGTCAAGAAATTTTGTTTAGAAAATCAAAAAGAAAAATATTATCGAAGAAATGTTTATTTTTATTCATTCTTTTATCATTTGGTATATGTGTATTTCTTATTCTTTGGAGTCAATACACTTTATATCAATTGAAAAATAATTCAAAATCGTTGATGGAAATGATACAACATGAGAAAACAAATCAAACGGAAACAATTTTATTAATAAAGCAATTAGAAAACAATTTAACATTATCAATGGAAGTGATACAACAGACAAAGGCAAACCATATAGAAATAATGTTATTAAAGAAACAATTACAAAAGTTCAGGAAACAAATTCATCCGACAAGTATGAAAAAAAATAAATGTGAGACCTACGTTAGATTACAAATCTAATCCATATTCAAGAATAATTTATTCTGAGAGATATTGAATATTAATGATTGTAAAAAAATATTATTTCTTTCGGACATTTTCTCATTGTTAATTCACTCATAATAAGAAAAAAAATAATTGTGTCAAATGGAATAGTTAAATTCACTTTCGTCTTTTATTTTTTTGAGAATCACAAAACTTTTCAGTGTAAATTCGAATTCTTGTTTTTTTCTTTTCGCAGAAATTAAATTCGATGGATGGAAACAAAATGCAGTAACTATTGCAGGAGGAAATGGAGAAGGAAACGAATCAAAGCAACTCTCTGAACCTTACGGAATTTTTATCGATAATCATCAAGATATTTTCATTGCGGATTATAAAAATCATCGAATTGTTAAATGGAAATTAAATGAAACTCAAGGCAAAATTATTGCAGGTGGAAATGGATATGGAAGCAGAATGGATCAACTGAATAGACCAACAAATGTGATTGTTGATGAAGAAAAGAATTCATTGATCATTGCTGATACAGAAAATAGGCGGGTGATTCAATGGTCATTAAATCAAAATCAACAAGAAATTCTCATTGAAAGTATTTTATGTTATGGTGTAACAAAAGATAAATATGGATATTTTTATGCTTCTGATTGGAACAAAAATAAAGTGACAAGATGGAAAATGGGAGATGTGAAAGGAAAACAAGGAACATTAGTTGCTGGTGGAAATGGAAGAGGAATTGAACTTAATCAATTCGTTGGCCCTACTTTTATCTTTGTTGATGATGATCAATCCATTTATGTTTCAGATTTATGGAATCATCGTGTAATGAAATGGAGAAAAGATGCGAATGAAGGAATTGTTGTTGCAGGTGGAAATGGTGACGGAAATCAACTTAATCAGTTGAATGGTCCATTGGGAATAATTGTTGATGATTGTGGTAATATTTATGTTGCAGATCGTGGGAATGATCGAATAATGCGTTGGAGTGAAGGAGCGAAAGAAGGTGAAATAATTGTTGGTGGAAATGGTCGTGGAAATGAATTAAATCAATTGTCTTATCCCATTGGTTTATCATTTGATATTGAAGGAAATCTTTATGTTGCTGATGGTGGAAATGATCGAATCTCAAGATTTGATTTGATTTCTTCATAAAAAACATTTTTCATTTTCATTTCGAAAAATCTTCTTTTCCTTGTGAAAGTCTTATCATTTTTTCATTGAATTTTAGTTTTGGTGAACATTTCGATGAAAAAGGAACAAAAATGAAGAAGAGATGATATTGTTTTATTTTGCATTGGAAAATCTTTATTAAGATCATTTGACATAATAAAATCATTGATTTAGGAGAAAAGAAACAATAGAAATGCTATTGAATATTTTGGAAAATGTTTTGTCACTTTCAAATTTAATGAGAAGAAAGAGAACAGATGAAATATTTTCATTTCAATTTTTTATGTCGATAAAATATTTGCAAATCAGAACGTGGCGAACTACTTTCAGCTCGACACTCAGATTCTCTCGAAACTAGTATTTTTTTATTGTTTTCTCTGATTTCCACTATTATCCTTTGTAAAAATTGGTTGATCAACTATACATATTTCAAGTGATAATGCGTTGCAACATTTTACCCTGCGATAATCTGTCGGGCGACAATTTGTCCTAGAGTGGTAGACGCGAGTAAAACACAACACACAGATCTATACACCCACATCCACGATTTCGAATTGTTCTTAACAAACTGAAAGATGAATAAAATATTATGCACCTCGACTTTGTTGGCATAGATTATACATCTATAATAAACAATTTTGCCGGTATCGATGTGGATATGTGATTATTTCTTACTAGTATCCATATCCACATTCATTCGTAAGATTTTTCATTTGATCGCGAAATTGACTCATTGTGTGTTCATACAACGAAGGAAACGATAAATAATCTGTGAAAATAAATCTCTCGAAGAATTTTTCAAAAAAACCTGAATCATGTCGAATGTATTAATTTACTTTTTCTATTACACATAAAGAGGTCGATTGTTTCTCTTTCTTAGTCAGATAAGAATAGCAAAAGGTTTTTTTTCTTCATTACTTGTGTAATCTCTATCTACATTCGTCATATAAAGACACGTGTGTGTGTATATGTGTTCTGAGTGTCATAACATTTTCAATATATTGAATAAACTTCAGGTTGTTTTTATTATATGCATAGTATGATTACATTAAAATCTTTGAATTTATCTATTCCTCGTCTTGGTTATGGTACAGGATCAAAATGGCGAAATGATGGAATTTCAAAATCAATCGATCAATCGTTAGTAATTGCCATTCGTCAAGTGTCACGTCTTGATAAGAAATAAAAGATCTTGAGGAAGTATCTTTATTTCAAGAAGAAATGAATATCAACAGAAGAAGGGAAAAGAGAGAGAGAACACGGGAGAAATATACATATATATATGCATATAACGACAGCTATATATATATGTACGCGAGTGGACAATACCAAATGACAGGATAGGAAAAGACCATCATGACGCATAACATATGTGGATTGTT